CTCCCTGCGGAGCTGCACGGTTGGATCGCGGACCTCCTGGGGGAGGTGGAGGCCACTGGCGCATGGCCCCACGAGCTCGCTGAGCCAGAGGGCCTCCTGCTCCCCAAGCCTGACGGCGGAGCTGGGCCTCTCGACCGGCGCCCCATTTGGCTGCTGCCCATTGTGTGCCGCCTGTGGGCTGTCGGACGCGCGCGTTTGTTCGCGCAGTGGCGGCTGAGCTGGGACGGCGCTGCCGCGTGGCGCGGCTCGGAGGAGCTGGCCTGGGAGCTGGCCTTGGAGCTCGAGGCAGCGGAGGCCTTAGCTGAGTGCATCGCGGGCGCCGCCCTGGATTGGCGCAAGGCCTACGACCGCGTCGATCTCCATTCCTTGCCGTCCATCCTGGGGCGAGCGGGGGTGCCGGGGTGGGTGGTTGCGCCAGCCTTGGCGGCTTGCACCGCGCGGCGGCGGGCCCGGGTCGGTAGGGCCATCGGCGATCCGTGGGCGCCGTCCAGCGGCATGCTGCCAGGGTGCCCGTTGGCGGTTTTCTTCCTCAGCGTGCTCGCGCGGCCCTGGCAGCGGCGCGCTGGCGCACTCGACGACCGTCTCCAGCAGAGGGTGTACGTCGACGACTTCACTCTCTGGGCCCGCGGGCCGGGCCACGAGGCGGCCGAGGTCGGCGAAGCTGTGCGCGAGGCGCTCCGGCTGACGTCGCTGTTTGAGGTGGCCATGGACTGGCGTCTTAACAGGGACGAGCCGGCAATTCGCGAATTCAGCCAGTCTCCGCAGCTGGCTCCGCGCGCAGACCCCAGGGGTCGCGGCCGGCTGCGGCATTCGCGACCTCGGCGTGGTGTCCACAGCAGGGCGGGCATGTCGCAGCGCGGTCGCTGGCGCGAGAGCCCGGGCAGCGGCGGGGCGCTTCGCCCGCATCGCGCGATTGCTGGTGGGCTTCCGGCAGAGATGCCTGCTCGACGCGGCGGCGGGCGCGTCCGCAGGCTTGTGCGGCTCTTCGCGCGGCCGCCCCCCAGCGCGCGAGCTGGCTGGCCTGCGGGCGGCCGCGCGCCAGGCCGTCTGCCGGGGTGGGCTGCGTGCCGCCGCCGAGGTGGTCTTCGGCGTGCTCAGTCCGAGCTGGCGCCTCGATCCTGCCGCGGTCGCCACCCTGGCTCCGCTGTGGCAGGTCGCCAAGGCGTTACGCCGCCGGCGCTTCCCGCTCGAGCTCTGGCGCGAGGTGGCGGGCGCCGTGGGCGCCGGGCACGGGAGGCAGCAGGGGCCCTTCGCTGCCGCCAGGCGCAGCATGGCAGACCTCGGCCTTGGCGACGACGTCACGCTCTGGCAGGGCGTCCCTTGGGCCCCGGGCGGCTGGCGGCCGCAGCACCGCCCGCTGCAGGACACTCAAGCGGCGCTGCTGGACGCTTGGTCGCGGCGTGAGGCCCGCGTGGTGGCTGGGCGGCGTGCCGACCTCGGGCATGTCGGCGGCGGAATCGACCGCTGGGCCACCCGCCGCTTGCTCGAGAACGAGGAGCTGGCACCAGACGCGGCCGGCGCCCTCCGCGCGGTGCTCAGTGGCAACGTCGTCACGGAGACGGTGGCCGCGAAGTGGGGCCGGCCCGCGCGCTGCCCACACTGCGGCGCCGCGGCAGAAACCAAGGAGCACCGCTTCTGGGAGTGCCCCCAGTGGGCAGCGGCTCGCCGCGCTGCCCTGGCCATTGTTTTCCCCTAGTTCTTAGGGTTGGGATTTACCCTACTTTTCGGATATGATTTCTTACCCTACTCCCCCTACGTTTTTTACCTCATCTCAAGAATAATTTACCCTACTTTCTCATACAACATTACCCTACTTCCCCTACATGTCCTTGCCCTACTTACCCTTCTTACCCTACTTACCCTACTTACCCTACTTACCCTACTTACCCCAACGTTTTGCACAGATCGTCCTAACGTACCTGATTATCCTTTAAGGGGTCGGCTGATATTCACAATTGAAGTTTGGAATGGCTCCGTGTTGCGCGGTAGGGAGAGAAAGGGGGACAGACAGAGAGAGAGAGAGAGAGAGAGAGAGAGAGAGAGAGCCCTGCCGCGCGGGCCGCCCCTGGAGCGGCGCGACAAGGACCGCCCCCGCACCCTCGCGCACGCTGCAGCGAGAGAGGGGGGGAAGCAAGAGGGAGGGAGCAAGACGAGGAACAGAAAATATGACTAACGTGAAACCAACGCGGGGAGGCCCCAGTCGGGCCGATCGTGAAACAAAAAGGGGGACGTTGGTGAAGGGGGCAGTCGTGAAACGATGAAGGCCTGAGCGGAGTAGAAGAAATATTGCTTTGCATTTCATTGCGTTCGCATGGCATTGGAACCGCATGGCATTGCAATCGCATTGCAACTCCGCATAGATTGTACCACGTAGATGGTACCACATAGATTGCACGGCATAGGTTACATAGCACGCAACCAGTACGACCTAGAGATCACACCACATAGATTGGAAAACGTAGATTGCACACATTTAATACACAACGAATGTTGCACTGCATAATTTGCACCAAACGCAGCTCACACCACATTGATTACGCCACGTGGCTGGCACCACACATGTTGCACGGCAGCGATACTTCAAAACACAATGCACCAACACCTGAAACAAAAAACACATCCACGATATTTATAATGTCGCACAACCTGCACCGCATACCAACACCACATGCGTTACACCACATAGCTTGCATCAGAAAACTCGCGCCGCATAGATTGCACCACATATATACAGCGCGCTGTTTGGGGTCCACGTTAGAACATCAAACCGTTGACCTCGTTGTCCCCGTCGCCGGCCGTAAACAGGATGGCTCAAAAAGGCAAGCACATCCATATGGCGCCGTTGGCGCAATTTCTTCTCGCATCATTAATTTGCATGAGTGGCGCTCTTCCCGTTGAGCCTCGCAAGAGGCGAGTTGCAAACCCTACGGTCTCGGCTCTAGCTTACTCCCAGGACTTGCTGCATGTGCTCAATCAGAATGGCATGAGTGGTTCCGTGGATACTATGTATGGGCCTTTCGTTGACAAATCGCATGAGGTGACATCAGCGAATCTCATCAGGAATATTGCATTGGCAAAACAGCTCTTACGAGCTAATCCAGACGGTGTTCTTCACGGCGCGCGCTTGGAGTCAGCATGGAAGCTTGTATTTGCAGAAAAAACACACTTAGTACCAGCAGACACGAGCTCAAACGTCTTGGCACACAGAGCGACGAACAATCTCATGGCAGTGATGAAAGTACTACGAACGATTCAGAAAGAGGAGCAAAACACAGCGGCCGAACACAATAAGTGGCACAGAAGATACCCGAAGACAGGTGCACTGAGACGGCGTTTGTCAGTTGCGGAATGGGCAAGGATACAAGAGACATTGAAAGGTTTGAAAGAAGATTGCGGTGTTTCTGAGACTGGCACAACGCCAGAAAAACAGCCCGTGGACGTGGACGATGCTGGCTTCCCTACGTGTTTCACGCCAGATGCGCCAGAGATTTCAGCAATGCCGTCTTCCTCGGGGTCGCTTGACGGCCGTGTCGCCGACGATTCCGGGTTGCCCAGCATATTTGCACCAATCGATCTCGTGCCAGTGCCAACGCCGAACCAGAAGAAACGCCTCGATAAGATCCGCAAATTGAAAAAAGAGAGGGGCACGACAAGAGAGAAAAAACAGACTGCAAAGAAACGCGTAGGGAGGGCTCTGGATGGCCCCCCCCCCAAGGGGACCGCGCGGCTACCTTGGAACGGCACCCCCAAGACCAGGAATGCCGTGTACAGTGAGGCGCACGGCAAAGAGAAGACGAAGTGGATCCAGCGAGGCAAATCGACAGCATTTGCTCTGAGCAAAGCACGGGTCGCGGGCAAGTTGGCAGGCAAACGGTGGGACGATATTTATGCGCAGACATTTTCGTGAGTGTCTATATTTCATATTTACGTGAGACATTGTCGTGAGACATTTTCGTGAGACATTTTACGAGCAGAGGCCTTGACAGGAGCAACTGAAAAATAGAATTGTCAGCATCACCGTCACTATGCCATTGCTCAGGGTATAGGACTTCACAAGCATACCATCATCACCATCATCATTACCAGGACCATCGTCACTACCAGCATTACCATAATCATCAGCATTACAATCGCAACAATACCATGCATCATTACCATCGTTACCAACATCCCCATCAGTATCATCATTATCATAATGTTCATACGTGTACGGTGTGGGTTCACGCGCACATCGAACCTCGAGTTCTGGACAGCCGCGGCGCCTAGAGCGGGATGCAGTTCCCTGCGAGAGGGTGATGTTGCATTGTGGTGGTCCTGGGGCCCTCTGGGAGGGCCTGAGTGCCCGCGGCCCAGTCCTGGTGGGGGAAAGTGAATTCCCACACGCGGCGCTCGCGTGTGGGAATTAGGTTTCGCCCCACGGTTCCCATGTGTTTTGCTGGTTGCCACCGCATTGTTTCGTTGAGCGAGGGTCCTGGTCCATCAGGGAAGGCCCACCAGAGCAGGGTCAAAAGGTCCTCCTCCTCCTCCTCCTCCTCCTCCTCCTCCTCCCCTGCCCCAACATGTTTCAACGTGATTAGAACCATGTTGCGCACTCTTTCCTTTTCCTTGGTCTGATCCCCGTCCAGAGCTAGCCAGCACTCGAGTGTTGGCGATCGCCACGGCCGATGTGGTGCAACGCTGTCTCGGCGCCCTGATGCTGTTGAGAGGGGTAATGGTCCTCCACCTCCTCCTCCTCCTCCTCCTACTCCTCCTCCGCCTCCTCCTCCTCCTCCTCGTCCTCCTCCCCCCCCTCCTCCTCCTCCTCGACGGTTCTGGAAGATCACCGCGGTGCCTCCCCCAGCAGTAAGGGCTTCCTGGCGTCCAAGAGCGTTTTCGGGCACAGTTAACACTGGGCGCTTTCCTCCCTCCTCCGTAGCCATTTTGGCTCAAGTCATTCGTGTATCAGTGGGCTTGACATTGCGATATCTTTCTGTTCGTGCCTCGGTCTCTGGACCGTCGCGATGCCCCCCATGAAGCGCCCGTCTTCGAAGCCCGTTGTTGTCAGGAAGCCCGCGGCCGCCGCGAGTGACTTCGACGTGGTCCGCAAGCCATCAGCTGTGGATTGGCGCCAGTACGACAAGGAGTGCGACGCGAACTCGAGCCAGAGCGTCCCCTCCGACAGCGACTCCGAGGCGAATGCCGAGCCCGACCTCAGCAGCAAGCGGGCCAAGACTTCGTCTGCAGTCATCGTGCCTGGCCAGCGTCAGGACGGCTCGCAACTCCCCGTCGAGGACCACAGCCCCTATACGGCCCAGCAGATCTACGTCGGGAAGAAGTTCATGAAAGCGGCGCCCGCCATCAAGAAGCAGTTCGACGAGGGCAACCGCGAGGAGCGCAAGGTGCTCATCAACTCGCTCGTGCCTCGCGATGTGGCGTACTCGGCTGTGTTCGACATGTCCAAGGCGCAGGCGTGGATCACGCGCCAGATGGCGACCAAGAAGACCGAGGGCGAGTTGTGCAAGCAGACGCACCACACCTGGTCGTGGTGGCTCAAGGAGTGGGGCGAGGAGCTTGTCGAGAAGGCCAAGCAGAGGAAGGACCTGGTCGAGGATGCGGACGGCCTCTGGTACGAGCGGTCCAAGGAGCTGACTCGCAGGGTCACCAAGACGGACGAGAACACGACCGCGCTGAAGCAGGAGGGCGACGGCAAGCAGGGGCTCGAGGCGCAGACGACCATGCAGATCGACTGGCAGCAGTGGGCGCAGAAGGAGCTCGGAGAAGGAGGATGAGCAGGAGGAGGAAGAGGGAGGAGGAAGAGGAGGAGGGAGGAGGAAGAGGGAGGAAGAGGAGAATGAGGAAACACACACATATATATATATATATATATATATATATATATTGGAATTCGGATGTGTTTTCTGTAAAACACCTCCGAATGTTCCAAGATAATGAATATGGAAACGTAACGGGGCCATCCCGTTTCCAGGAGCGGAGAGCGGGGGGAGGAGGAGGACGAGGAGGATGATAAGGAAGAATCATACGACGAGGCTCGAGGAGGAGGCGGACGAGTAGGAGGAGTGAGGAGGGAATAGACAGGATGGAGAAGGAGGTAGAGCTCGTCCATTCGCTTGAGGGCGACGCGCCTGTACCTCTTCCTGCTGCGCCGCGCTCGAGCCGAGCATCCAGCAGCAAGGCGTCCAAGAGTGCCGACGACAAGGCATTCACCTACTTGCAGACTGCGTGCGACAAGTGCAGCAGCATGGTGCGCAGCACGAAGGCCAACGCCAGATCGTTGAGGAAGGTCAGATGTGGGATCCATGTTTTCACATACCACGAGGTATCGACAGCATAGAAACACATAAGGAATATTTTAAAAAACCTACAGATTTCAAAATTTGATCAAATTTCGATCAAATTTTGATCAAATTTTGAAATCCAGGTGGTTTTGTTAAGTATTCCTTATGTGTTTCTATGCTGGTTTAAATTATCTCAAGGTGCTCGAACATGGCGGTGAGAAGAACGTGCAGTTGGATCCAGTTGGAACTGTTGGAGTCTTGCTCAAAGAGACTGAGTCCACCGTCAAGACGGTCCAAGAGAGGATCGACAACATGCAGGCCCTCATGACGAAACCTCGCAAGGACGTGTCGCCAGGTGACATCAGGACGGTGCTCGGCGAGACGGCCGAGATCTTCCAGACCTTGGAGGGCGTCGATAACGAGTTGGCAGGGATGACGAAAACGAAGGAGAGGCAGCTCACGAAGGCCATGAAGAACGCACTCTGAGCTCGTAGCTCTGAGGAAAACTAAGGAGGGGACGGATGAGGAGGAGGAGGAGGACGAGGAGGAGGAGGAGGAGGATAATACGTAATCTGCAAACGAGACGGAGCCACCCCGTTTCCTGGAGCGGAGGGCGGCGGGAGGAGGAGGAGGAGGAGGAAGAGGATGAGGAGCAAGAGGAGGAGTAGGATGAGGAAGAGCGCAACATGATTCTAATCACGTTGAAACATGTTGGGATAGGAGGAGGGAGAGGAGGAGGAGGAGGAGGAGGAGGAGGACGACAGACGCCCTGGCAACAACGCCGAGGGTGTTTCTCGCTTGGCTGCCTGCGGAGGCAGCCTGGACCACGAGGCCCGCAGCGGCCATCAGCGTTGGCCTGCGAGCGCAGGCTGTCGCCTGCAAGCGCAGGCTGCGTAGGACCGTAGGAAAAATCATCCCCACTTCGAGGCTCAGCGGTTCTCCAGCGTTTCCTCTGCAAGGGTGCCTCGCACTGTTCCGAATGGCTCGAAGATGGAGTTCGGTATATCCTCAGAGGGTGTTTCCCCGAGGGCCCTCCTCCTCCTCCTCGTCCTCCTCCTCCTCCCCCTCCCCCTCCTTACCGTTGTCATCATGATCATCGTATTTCTCCCCATCGTTTTGACATTGTTACAATGCTCACCCGATTCCTCGTAAGCATTGGCTCCGCTGGGGCGCCGCCTTGGGCCTGAGATGCCTCCGCTGGGGCCCCTCGTAAGCATCTCGAACATGCGCGTGCGCTCACACAGTCATCCTTAGCAATTTAGCTCTAGCCTGTTTGCACAAACTCATATGTTTTATGTTACACGTTAATGAAACGGTCACTGACCGACGACGTCGGCCGAGGCGGCCGCCGCCAACGAGCTGGTTACAGTGATGACGTGCAGGATGTCCCTGCAAGGACTGGTTCAGATGACAGAGGCCCCTTCAATTCGAGATTGGCGTTGCATTGCATTCAAAAGTGGTCGTGGGGTCAGCTGTCAGCGTGTCAGGTTCAGAAGATATGCCACGAGGCCTACCAGGATCAAGTATCTTTGTTGAGTAGCTGTGGGTTGAGTGCAGATCGTGCGAGTGAATCGTTGTTTCGTTTAGCTAAGCTCGGTGCCTATGGTAAGTTCCCTGGCAATGTGCACAGCAATCTCTTGAGTTACCTCGGCAGCCCATCTACTCCACCAGCTTTCCATCATCCTGTGCCTATGAGAAGGATGAAGGAGCAGCATGGGGGGGATCTGTCTGCTGAGTTTGATTTCTCAATTTTTTTACCACATGCTATGTTTTCCCACTACTGTCATCATGCTAGGTCTCGTTTTGATCAGCTCTTCCTTGGGAAATGCCGAAGCAGATCAGACAGGATTGCTTTCTGGACGGAAGCTCTGCGCCGAAAGGACCCTCGCCTAGAAAACCACCCAGTACAAGAACGTGCGCACTGGAAAGCAAATGCTGTACCGCTTTCGCTGCACGGGGACGCGGTCCCCGTGATCGGTGTCGGGAAAGCGAATACCAAGTCGTATGATGCATATAGCCTGCAGAGTATTTGGGTGCAGGGGAAATCTATTGACGTGAAACTTCTGATGTTTGGAATCTTCCCAGTTTTATGCACGGACGAAACAATGCCTGAGATATGGTCAATCGTCACATGGTCACTTTACTGGTTATACAAGGGGGTATGGCCCCCTGTCGATTGGCGCGGCAACGAATGGTCGGCAGATAAAGTGTCAGAGCGCGTGCTTGCAAATACTAAGCTCGCGGATGGCCTGTTTGCTTTGGTGCACTCGTTGAAAGGGGATTTGGACCACTTCGCGAAAGCATTAAAGCTTCGACACTATAACGCCAATCTAATGTGCGACCTTTGTCCTGCGACGAGGCTGACGGATGACCGCGCGCTACTCTACAATAACTTTAGCGCGGATGCTCGGTGGAAGTACTCATTGCACACAGAGGAGCAATGGCGCGCGCTATATCATAACAAGTTTCTGCACTATGTGTTCAGCTTGCCTGGAGTCAGTTGTCATTGCTTGGAACCCGATGAGTTGCATGTTTGGCACCTCGGGGCATCGCAATATTTCCAAGGAAGTGTGCTATACATTCTTGTGTTCAACGTGATGCCGAATTCACCAGAAGAAAACTGTTCAAATATATTTCAACATGTAAACGAATATTATTCGTCTATGCAGTCAGCGTGCCAGTACACAAATTTTACAGTCAACACGTTCGTTGTCAAAGGCAAGGAGCAGAAACATTTCCCGTCACTCAGAGGTAAGGCTGCGGAAGCAAAGGATTTATTGCCAGCTCTCCGAGAAGCGTGGTGTAAGTTTGGGCGTGGGCACACTGATTTCGAACTCGTGGACGGAGCGGCTCTCGCAATGGTCAAGGTACAAGATTTGCTGCACGACTACAGAGGAGAATTATTCTTGCCCGTGCATGTAAGCACTACAATCATGGAGCTAGTTGACGACTTCCTGCTCAGATATCAAAAACTTGCTGCTGCTGCCGAGAGCAACGGCGAGACTCTATGGAATAACCCTGCGAAGTTTCATTGGCTATGGCACTGGAACAGAAAATCAATGTTCATCAACCCCAGCCGCACGAATACATTTATCGATGAAGATTTCGTTGGCAAAATGAAAACGGTTGTTCATTCATGCGCGCCTGGTTCTTCGTTGCCACACATGCAGTGCACCTCTGCTGAGAAATACAGGTGGGGTCTTCACTACTCCATCTAGCTGAAAAAGAAACAACAATCCTACGTGGCTGCGCCGACCCCCACCGCCTAACGAACACGCACACGCACGCGCACACACACACACACACACGCACCCACACACACACACGCAAACGCACGCACGCACATTCACACACACACACACACACGCAAACACACACACACGTGTACATATATATGTATATATATATGTTTATACATAAATAAATACATATACATATATATATATCTATATGTATATATATATACATATACATATATATATATATATATATATATATATATATGTATTCGCCCTCTGGTCCCTTTCAGGGGCCGCGTGCTGCGTGGGGAGGTCTCCAAAGCTATCCCTCGGGAGTCCTCGTGTTACTCCCACCTCCTGCCCACCGAATCTTCCTCGTCGGGGTAATAGTGATAGTAATAATAATGGTCATAGTAATAGTGATAGTAATAGTCAAAGGCCCAGATGGCCCAAGATGGCCCAAGAGGCCTCCAAGAGGGCCTCCAGGCAGGGCCGAAAAGGCCAAAATCATTGATTTCCCAAAGAGTTGTTGAGGGAGTGTGGCATTTGTTTTTTGTTCGGCCTTCCAACGGCCCGAGACGGCCCAAAGGGCCCCACAGATCGCCCAAGAGGTCTCTAGCATGGCCCCAGAAAGGCCCAGAGGCCCCCAAGGCGGCCCCAAGAGGCCCCCAAGACGGCCCAGGAGGCCCCCAAGACGCTCAAGATGGCCTCCAAAACGGCCCTGGAGCACCCCAAGAAAAAACCTGCCCCCCTTGTTATTCCCTTCTTCCAAAGCTCACTCCTGCCCCCCTTGTTATCCCCCCCCCCCCCACCCATCCCCCACCCCTCCCCCTCGAGGGGGGGGGCGGGGGTGCGGGGGGGGGGGGGGGGGTCCACCCCCCTCCCCTCCCTTCCCTTACGCCCCCCCCCCTCGATCCCCGCCCCTCCCCCCCCTCCCCCCCCTCCCGCATATCAGGGCTGTCGCCTCATCCGCCGACCCCCGCGGGCGCGTAGGGTAGGTTGTAGGGTGGGTTGCCCGCGCGCTTTTTTTTTCGGCGCGCGCGCGCGCCCCGCCAATCGGCGGGCGCGCGCGCGCGGTCGCGAGCGGCCGCGCGCGGCCTGCAGGAACCAAACGAACCAACGGCCCGATGACCACCATGAGATCCTATTGAATATTGGGAAGCACTTTTTCTCTCTCTCCCTCTCCCGCCACTAGGGCGGGCCCCTGGCGGCGGCCATAA